TTTTAAGTCTTCTATGACATATTTTAAGTAAATTGCAAATAAAATGTTTCTGCATTGCTACAAATGTTGCCCCCCTTTCTCAAACCGGAGTGGAGCGGTCTGGAAACAGGAGGGGGGCGGAGCTTAAAGCGTCTTAAAGGAACAGTAACAAAACAAGCTGACATCAAAGGAGAGCTGAAAGATGGGCTGGTAAAGTTAGAATAAGAAGGAATTCAGGCCAAAACATTGTAGTTTTACTTTGTAAAGACCCCAACAATAATTTAAATGTGAAAAGGACTAATTTAAATTTATATAGCCACTAAGGCAGATATGCATTTCAAAACATTCTAGTTTTATTGAATGATCCATGGTCTGTAGTTGAATATTTCTATTCAAGACTAATATCGTCCATTAGAGTTAATTTTGTATTTTGGGTTTTTATTTGTTACAAAGGCATGTCAAACAATGGAATGTTTTTCATTCCAATTGAGGATGAATTTAGTCGACTTATGTTTTAGTCAGTTTTACTTCTACAATAACATCTGTGACATAAAATGATGCCAAAATAAAAAGGTCTTCTGCAGGCGAAACTGTATCTGTCCATCATCGATGATGTCATTGAGAATATGAAGGAGCTCTTCCAGGATGAAGGGCTTGAAGACAGAGTCCTGGATGATCTGCGACAGGTGAGGGGGTTTGGATCCAGATCTGCTGCAAAAATCGGGAGTTCGCTCAAATTTCCAGAAGGAAAATGTAACAGAACTGACACCATGCATGAGAGAGACGATGCTGTCTTTTCTGCAGCTTTGGGAGTCGAAGTTGATTCAGTCGAAAGCGATGGAGGACTTGAGGAACAACAATGCAAACCCCTCCAACTTTGTGCTCCAGCTCCCACCCAGCTACAAACAGACGGATCAGGAAGCTGCAGGTAATTTGTACAYAAACAGTCAATTTATCAAAACAAACATCTGGTCAAACTTTTAGAAAAGGAAAAATGCAACAAATTACATTTCTATTTAGTTGCTGCTTTTCTGTGAATCTTATTATTCAAACGCTCTTTTGTTTCACCTGCTTTGGTTGTTTTTCTTACCCTCAGCCTCAGTTGTGGTCCCTGCAAAGCAGAACGTCAGCAGCTTACCATCCAAGGCAAGTGTCCACATTTATTTACAGCATTTCATTGCTCTCCACGTTAGGAGAGCAGATTTTAGGTCATGAACCCATTTTTTAAATCATGTAAATTGCTTTGTTCATTTTTTTATGATGTTCTGTCATTTGTTTTTCTCAGAACAGTGCAGATGCACATACTACTTTTTCCCTCCCTGCTTCATTGGCGTATCCTGTGCAGATACCAGCAGGAGTCACTCTTCAGACAGCTTCAGGTACTTAAATTTGATTTTGATAACTTGTGCTGTACTTTATGATCGGGGGGCGGCATGGCCCTCCTAATAGTTTCCTGTTTATAAACCTCCATAAATATAAAAACAAATGCTGTTTTTTTACATTTAAGTGTTAAAAACAAATACATATTTTGTTTAAAATGAAAAAAATAAAGAAAAAATAAAAAAAATCTAGTTCCTCTGAATAAGGACAACCAGTTTAAAACCAATGTTCTCAAAGATGGAAGTTCTCAGGTTATAATAAATCTAAATTTAATTAAATAATTAAAATAATTATATAATATAAAATTATGCAGTACAATGGCACATTTAGAGAAACATGTTTCCTGTAAAGAAGAAGGTTGCTAGAGTAACATTCTGGTTTGTGTTTACATGTTCTCCCTGTGCAGGAGTGGGTTTTCTCCAGGTACTCTAGTTTCCTCTCTCACAGACCAAAATCATATTTATTAAAACTAATACGTCACGAAGAAGCAAATAAAAGAATAGCTACTGTTATTGCATCACATTTGTAATTGTGTTTTTTAAGTCATTTCCTGGTTTGGGGTATTTAAAATTACAGTTTTTCTTCACAAAAGTATACATCAACAAGCAAATCAAACTTTTAACATAAATAGAGGTGGTGGCTTTAAAACTGAGAAAGCTTGTTCCTTGTAAATGTTTTATTTTTTAAAATGTGTGTGTATGTATGTATGTGTGTGTGTATATATAT